TGACCGTCAAACCTATTTCCACAAAGTTGGAAAATTGCCAAGGGCAATGAATGAACATACTGAGATTCTGGGATTTAAAACAAAGATTACATTGTTTCTTTAGAACCTAGGTTGGAAATATTAATGTCTAAAAACATAGTGTCTTTAACTCCCTGTTGACATCTGCTCTCTATAGTGTTAGAGCAAAATCTCTCTGTATCCAGGTCTATTTTATGTAAAATAGGTGAATAATAACTCTGACACCAGTGATAGCACAGGGGCTGGAGCGATAGCACAGCGGGTAGGGCGTTCGCCTTACAAGCGGCCAACATGGCCGACCCGAGTTCGATTCCTCCGCCCCTCTCGGAGAGCCCGGCAAGCTACCGAGAGTATTCGATATGCCAAACACAGTAACAACAAAGTCTCCAATGGAGACGTTACTGGGCCCGCTCGAGCAAATCGATGATCAACGGGAGGGCCTTTACTAAAATTCAAACTTAAAAACAAGGTTCTATCAACAATAGTTTTAACTGTTAGTCACAGATAAATTAATTTGAATATTAACAGATGAGAACAGTGAGATATAGATATACTAATGACTTGAAGCTGTTCTAAAATTATAGAAATAAAATATAAAATACAAAAAATATAAAATTAGAGAAATAAAATACAAAATTACAGAAATAAAATATAAACATAAATTATAGAAATAAAATAAAAGCCTCTTCACTCCTAGCCTATGATTTTTCTAAATTTCTGAGAATTCCAAACTTTAGTACTTCAAAAACCATGGGCAAATTTTTAACCATATCCATGAAACACCTGCTTATGCTATTTTCTTAGTATCTTTCTTTAAATGGACTTGCCTATTTTTAGTTTGATAAGTCATTACCATACAGGAGAAAAACAAAACATCGTTATTAAATTTTTGTTAGATATTTCTAGCCTGCTGAAAGCTTCAAGTGCAGAGTCTGTTCTTGGTTAACAAAGTTCATGGATCCAGGGGGATAGTACAGGGGCTTAGGGTGCATTACCTTGCATGTGTCTGACCCTGGAGCAAGTCTGGCGATACATATCCCTCTGAGCACTGAGCTTTGCCAGGTACAGCTCTGGAGACCCTGAGCATCACAGATATGGCCCTGGAGGCCCCTAAGTACCATAAGAGTGGGTCAGACAACCCCTGGAATCTCAGATCTGGGGATCAACACAGTATCCTTTGACCCTGTCATTGACCTACTGGCCTCTTGGCTGAGAAATCACGGGAAAGGAGTAGCTCACTGGTCCCCTGAGCATCACTTGGGAGGTCCCTAATAAAAGAGAAGATTAGCAGATAGTATGAAGAGGAGAGACTTCTTAAAGTGAAGCAATCTGTAGATGGGCAAACTTTCTCAAAAGATGGTTCAATATGGATATCATACTCCCTAGTGCCTCCTCCTGAGGGCAGACCCAGAACTTTGAGCAAAGCTATCTATGCTTCATTGTCTCCCAGAGCAAACACCAGAGAAACAGAAAGGCATGGAAGTGAGCCTTGCTTCCTGAAGAGCAATGCAGTTTCTCAGACACTAGTGATCTCAACATATGAGAGAAGGATAGTGTTTTAAATGAAGCTATGTTACCAAAGATTAAGAACACTTTAACATGGAGCTGGAGAAATGTTATAGCTGGTAGGGCACTTTCCTTGCAAGAGGCCAACCCAGATTCAATCCCTGGCATCCCATATAGTCCCCTGAGCACCATCAAAGTCAGGAGTAACACTAGAGTATTGCTGGGTACCTCCCCCCCCCAAAAAGAAAAACAAACCAAATCAAAGAAACCAAACAAAAATTCATAAAAGGATCTAAAATAATCCAAAATAATAAATTGATTGTAAAACAATTTTTTTGGCTTTTTGGGTCACACCTGGCAAAGCACAGAGGTTACTCCTCGCTCTGCTCAGGAAAGCTCAGGAATTACCTCTGGCAGTGCGCAGGGGACCATATGGGATGCTGGGAATCGAACCTGGGTTGGCCGCGTGCAAGGCAAACGCCCTACCCGCTGTGCTATTGCTCCCGTCCCTGTAAAACCCTTTTTCACAGTGCTGAGCTTTCAATTCTGAATTCTATTTTTAATTTTTAAAAATGACTGAAGTAACATATGTTATAACATTATATCAATCTCAGATGTGTAGTTTCCACTGTCAACCATACAACTGATCCACGAATTACATATCTTAATGTTAGGAAATGTCCATTATGTCGATTTTATAGTAAAGTCATCTCATACCCACAATATGATTAAGAAAAATCAATAAATTAGGCACCAAAAACACATTAAACTTTCATGTAAAAACTCAAAATTGCAGGCAAAGTATAAACGGAGATGACACAGACTAGAGGCACAGAAGTCCTCTGTGTCAATCAGTGTCCTGGGCCCAGAGCAGGCAAACTGCCCTGGTGTTCCTCCTTGCTATTGAACATTTTGTTTACAAAGATTTGGCAATTACATAAAGCAGCGTGAAAAACAAAAACAAAGACAAATCAATGTGAAAGCCTTTTGGTCATGCTTCAAAGGCCGAGGAAGCAGATTAAACAAGTATCTGAATAAGTTTGGGCAAAACATTTCAGTGAATTTTCCTGTCATCTCATTAGCTTTGCTATTCTCACCCTGCCCTTCTCTTTTCTTCTTGTGGACATCACTGGAACTCATACACCCTTGGTTTCAGTGCTCACACACTGGGCTGAGGTGCTCCCTGGATTACAAACGGCAGTGCTGCCACGACCACACTTGTCATGAAGGGCAGTTTTGTGATGTAAGTCGGGCCCCATGTATGTCCATGCCAAGTTCTCTACAGGTGAATTATCCCTGAGCTCAGTCCATTTTTGAGGGCTTGCGCTCCATACATTTTTGTCATCGAGATCTAAATTAAAATTGGTTCTCTAGGAAGGTCTTATTTTCAGTACAATGCATGATTTAACAATACAATGATGCGAGCAGTTACTATCTATTTACTCCTTGGAGCTGGAAGGGAACACTTTTGGAGTATAAAAACTGGAGGATCTCTCCAACTTCCTCAGGGGAAGTTTGGGGATTTCTCTTTGGCTTTCTTCCAACATATTTTCATATCCCTGTTACACTGACATAAGCTATGACATTTTTCTGTAGTGTAGAAAACATTTGAACCACTTCATGACCTTCTTGCTGGAGAGGCTCATGCTTTTGTCCCCTTTGTTTACCAAGTTAAATGCCAGCAATTGTCAGGTCTCAATGTATTGCTTTTAGTAGAGACTAAATAAATATTAAAGGAAGAGATGCATACATAACTAGATGAAATTTTAAAAATCTAGTTATTGAGAGATATTACAAAATGGAGATAATTTTAAAAATTATCTGCAATACAGCACCTCAAAATGATGTTATCATGTTAATGTATATCCTGAGGACTTTTCTACTAATAAGTACAGGAAGTCTTTGCTTAGCTTGTACTGAAGAACTATAAACTGTGCAAGATGAAACTGTTCAAAGTAATCTTAATAATTAGTGGGGGAAATTACAATTTCATCTAATCTTTAAAAGCTTTTGTGATAATATCTCTCTTACTGTTAGGTATGAAAAAATATAAAACTAAAATTTATTTAGCACACTATAATTTGATAATGTTCCGAAATCCTGAGAATCAATATGTCTTCTTTTTAGGCAAATGTTTATCATTATGATTTGAACAGCTCTTGCCTTGTTTTATTGTTCAGTTAACTTGTGATATAGAGTGAGCACTGTTTTTGTGCCTGGAAAAATAGTTACATTCTTTCCTAAGTTTAGATTAGTTTAAACATTTTTTTACTCGTGCTTTTCTATGTTGTGATTTATTTCTGAGAGATCCTTTTGTGAAGTAACATTTCTAGAGGGAAATAATCCTATTTATTCATCAAAGTATATTACTCATTCACAATCAAACATTTCCTTCATTGAGTCCTTCAGCTGCACATCTATAATCTTAGACTGTAGTTTCAGGATTCCCAGAGAAAGATATTTCTTCTATGGACTGGAGAGAAAGCTCTACAGGATAGGGTAAATGTTCAGATGCATGAGTCCTGGGTTTGATCCCCAAAACTACCTGGTTCCCTGAGTGGAACCCCAAGCAATGAGCCAGAAACAGCATCTGAGTACTGCCAAGTGTGGCCCAACCTGAAATTTGGCCATAAATTTGATATTAACATTATCAAATTTTAAAACTCTACTTATTTCATACTTGACTCTCACTTCCAGCATTACCACTTTTTGTTTCTTTGTCAACCACCACTTTCAAACACCCACTTTTCTAACATAAATAGTATTTTATCACTGGAATAAAAGGTAGCCACAAATCTATACAATATATAAACTAAATAATAGATATACCAGTTACAGACATACTTTGAAAGAAGAGCTGTGATTAGGCAAAACATTTTTTATTTATTATGTTGTGCACCTTATTTGCATAGTGAGCTGAGAATTAAGAGCAGTAAAGTTTGTACTTTTTTATTTTCAAAGTAATATAGTAACAAAAACAGTGCTGCCGGGGAACTAGTATTCCTTTTCTTTTCCACAATAATAAATGTAATAAATTTATTACATTTATTATTCCAACACCAATCCTACCACCATTACATCTTCCCACCACCATATTTTGAATGTTTCCACCGCAACCCCCAAAGCCTGGTCCCAAAGCCGGACCAAAATTATTTTGTATAGTTTGTTACGAATAAATTGCTAAAAATGATACAAAAAAGTTTCCTTAGAAGAAAATGTGTGTGAAGATTATTGTATTTCACCCTAGAACCATTAAGTCCTTGTCTTGGTACGTCAGTGGTGTAGAGTATGAAATGTCGCTTTAGGAATTCTAAAATTTTAACTATGGTGATTCAGCTGAGGTTAATTTTTTTTTTGACTGGATGGTGACTTCGAAGTCCAGAGGCATCTCTGCGGCCTGCCAAGTCGCATGTTGCAATCTTCCGAGAGATTTATTTGTGAGTCTCTGGATTATGGCCGTTAACGAGCGTATATGGCACCAGTGGAGATCGTTGACGTGACTGCTAGGCTACCAGAAGCACAGGGAGATGGAGCAAGGTCATCCATTGCTGACTCCATGTAAGTCTGAAGATTTCGGTCACAAGTCCCGCTTACCTGGGGTTTTCAGCAGATTCACTCATGGATGAGGCTCATCTGAGCCTGTGGAAAATTGGCTGAGAGAATGGTGGGAATTGAGTTCTGTAGGTTTATGGCTGTAGGGTCTCTGTTGGGGCCAGGAGGGGGTACTTACCCCCCCCCCCCCACGTAATGTCCTGAGACAGCCTGGTGAAGGTTGCAGAGGGGTACTTACCCCTCCCCCCACGGAATGCCCCAGATGAGAGAGCCTGGTGCAGGGTGCAGGGGCATCTTTGTGGCATGTTGTTCTCATGTTGCTCTCTTCTGAGAGATTTATTTGTGAGTCTCTAAATTGTTGCTGTTAAAAACTGATATTCTTTAACAAAGCAATGTAACTAAAATTTTGTGCATACTGAAATGTACAAACTGCCATCAATTGAAAACTATTAGACTACATAATCAGATTATTCCATAGATGTGTTTTAATGAAGTACTATTACATGCATATTTCATAATTTTATTTTCACGTTTCATAGTACTTCTTGAATCTCTTTTATACCATTAACTCCACATATTATTCTTCAAAATGTGTTGTGTGACTTCCACTGATGAAGACAAACGGGGTTGTTGTCATGATTTAAGTAATACAAAATGTATTCAATGTTCTTAGAACTTTGTAAAATTGCAAGAGCTAAACAAATATTAGTTATTCTTTTTTGTTTATTTTTGGGCCACATCAGGCTGTGCTCAGGACTTACTCCTGGCTCTGCATTCAGGAATCACTTAGGATGGGATTGGGGGAACCATATAGGGTGCTGAGGACCGAACCTGGGTAGGTTGCATGAGTAGGGCTTTAACTTTTGCAACTATCTCTCTGGCCTCATAAACAAGTGTCTTTTATTCTTTATGAGGATATTTAGGGAAAAAAACTATTTATTGATGTTTTGTATTTTGTCATTTTGAGTATACAGTGTCTTGGAGTTTTCCTAATTGGGTCTATCTTCACTGGGACCCTGGGGCCTCTTGGATTTTGGTACCTCAACTCTGGCAAGTTCTCACTGATGATTTCTTTAACTATTGCTTCTTCATCATGTTTGCCTTCCTGTCCTTAAGTGACTCTGATGACTCTTATACTACTCCTTATGAACTCAACCCATATTTCTATGATATACTGTTCATTTCGTTTTAGAATGTTTTCTACTTTCTGCTGTTTCATAGCTGTTTCCTCCTCATCTTGGAGCTCCTTCATCATTCCCTCAGGTTCTGTTATTCTGCTGTTCAGAGTTTCTGTTGATTCTTTTTTTTTAAATATTGTCTACAGATTTTTCTTTTCAACTTTCGTACTTTTTTGTGCTCTGCTGACTACCCGTGCTATCATTTCTTTGAACACATAGTATCACTAAAGACACTATCTAAGGATTTACTGGTGTTGTGTACATCTTCTGTGGTATTGTTTCTATTCATTGAACTTGATGGATTTCTACATGTTTTCCCTACTGGTTTTCTAGTGTTCTTCCTGTGCTGGGAGTGAGTCTTTGTAGTTAATCTCCCCTTTAAGATGCTGAGGGATTTAACTAGAGGTTGCTCTCTGTCTCCTCTGCCCATCCTCATAGAATGACAGAAAGAATAACTGTGTCCATCCTCATAGAATGACAGAAAGAATAACTGTGAGCAGCATGGAATTTGTTGAGTAGATCTATTGCTTCAGGAGCTGTGGTGAGGGCTCTAATATAACACAAGTCAGGTGTGGAGGCTCCTGGGATCCACCCTGGATGGAGGGATTCTGCCACCTGTTGGAGCTCTGCCTCCTGTTAGGAAAAGGCCTAGTTTTTTTTTACTGGAGGTGAGCCTCACCAGGGATGGTGCAGCCGCAAGCAGGTCATAAAGTAGCTGTTGTGTGCGTCCCCCCAAATTGAGATTCTTAGGTAAAAAGGTAAAGGTAAAGGCCCTCCCATTGTTCTTCGATTTGCTCGAGCGGGCCCAGTAACGTCTCCATTGGAGACTTTGTTGTTACTGTGTCTGGCATATCGAATACGTCACGGGGAGCTTGCCAGGCTCTGCCGTGCGGGCAAGATACTCTCAGTAGCTTGCCAGGCTCTCCGAGAGGGGCGGAGGAATCGAACTCGGGTCGGTCATGTTGGCTGTGTGCAAGGCAAACGCCCTACCGCTGTGCTATCACTCTAGCCCTAAGATTCTTAAAACAAAATATTTGTTACCTCTCAACCTCTGTGGATGAGAATTCAGACAAGGTTTAGAGTACCTCTGGCCCAAGATCTCTGTTGAGGTTATAGTCAGTATTGTCTGGCAGGGGTCTTTTCTATAGGCTCTAAGGGGCAACAGGCTACTTCAGACCACCTCTCCTCTACATGGGCTTCCCTATGAAACCAGATTTGGAATTCCCCAGAGGAAGCCATTCAACAGAGAAAGAATAAGTGCCCACGGTGGTGGAAGTCATAGTTTTCTTGTGACCAAGTATCAGAAGTGACATGACTACTTTTGCTGCATTCTGCTTGTTAGAAACATGTAAGTCTTGTCCAAGGGAAGAATATATAAACCCGCTCCCAAACCTCTTCTCTTCCCTTTATCATTGTTGTTGTGATGCCTGACAAATCTTGAACATCTGGCTGGGATGCTCGATAGTGGCTTTCATATTTTTATTAGGTGCATGCCAGGTGTCACTTTCAGTTTGCTCTGGTGCTTGAGCACATTCTGGATACAGTGCTTACTAGGTGCTATTGCATATGTTATTTTGAGGTCACACTACTGACTGCATTACTCATATATGTTAGTTGTGGTGCTCACAACGAACCCAATACCCAATACCAATATCAAAACCCAATACCAGGCTGTACGTTGGGTTTTCACAAGGTGCCATGGTGCAGGAGACCTCAGAGGTCCTGGGAGTGCACTTAATGCATGCAGGTAGCATCAGAGATGTGACTCACAGCCTTGTAAAAGTGCCTTTACTCACTAGGCCACTCCTCAGGCATCAGTCTCCCTTCCTCCCCAATCCTCGCCCCATGTCCCTGCCAATTTCAACATCCCTGACCAGCAGGAATCAAGAATCACCTGGAGTCATCTTAGAGGCAGCTTTTCACATGATTTGATGCACTTAGGATTATTTTAATTGGAAGGAATCATAAATAAGGAACTATTGAGCACAGTACATTCTATTATGCAAAACTCAAGAATCTAGGCTATAATGACCTAGAAAATTAGAAAATTCACAGCATGAACAATCAAGAAGTTAGAAAAACACATGGAATTTTCAGAAAATTGAGGACAAACTTAATAGAGGCTTGAAATGGGAAACATGTACAAATACTTGAAATTCCTCAACTTAAAGTGAAACATGGTGACCTTCAGTGGCTGCATGCAGGATTTTATATAAGCATAATGAATAAAGTTTTGACGGAACTGTGAAGTATAAGAATAGGAGATTATTCAAATCACATATATCCTCACAAGTCTGGGTAGTGTGAAGTCAGCCCTTACTGAAGGAAGTGGATTAAATGTTATTGGTTTCTTCTAGATTAAAGTTCTGACAAGAACTGAGCAGAACTTTGTAAATGTTAGCAAAAAGCAGCCCAATCTATGCAGGACCATTTTAGTCTTCTTTAAAGTTATTTTCTGCCAATGCAAGAACTCTGACAACTCTGGAAAGTTAATATAGAGGATAGGGTGTTTGCCTTGCGTGTGACCAGCCTGAGTTCAATCTCTAGTACCACATATGGCCCCCCTCAGCCCCAATAGTAGTAATCCCTGAGTGCAGAATCAGGAGGAAACCATAAGCACAACCTAGAATGGCAAAAAGAAAAAAAACCCCACAGCTTCTGAAATTATTTACTATCTTTTTTTGCAAGACAGCCAGAGCTTCTTTATCTTCCTTTGTCTTTTTGAGAACCAAAATCTGATTTGAAGTATTTCCCAATTACACTGAAGTCAGTTGATTCTAGCTATATCCAGATGGATTAAATTGCTATGGCTGATTTTTATTAAACTGCTAAATGTTTTAATAATCCTTCTAATATGCTTTAAATTTGTGCCAGGGTAAAGAGGCAATCTCTTGTAGATTAGAATTCACAACTCCCACTAGACTTCTGTTGGTTTGTAAATTCTAACTGTGGTCTCTGCATTTGTTCCTATTTTGTTGAATTCAAAGTAAGTTCTTTCTTTAAAAGATGACACTCAACTTCAGTGGTTCAATGATAGAGTCATTCAAGGAATGTGGATGTGTTTTGAAGTGGATGACTTCAACATGAAATGCATACTTTAGAAAATGAAATGAACTATTTATTAGCAATAAAGAAAAGTATATTAATAACAAGATTATTTTCTTATTTCCATAGAACCCTAGATCTGTTCATTTTAACTCTACATTACTTAATATTTGGTCTGTCAGCCCATTTCACAAATATTGGCCCCACCTTGCTTATCAGTTAAAGTTTAACAAAGATTTCCTGCTATTGATATCTTTCTTTTCAACCTTTCTATACAAAAGAGGAAGATAACTTATATTAATGACAGATTACTGCTGGATTATGTACAAAACATTTAAAAAGTGTTTTTCATGTTTTTATTTATTCTTTGTAAGGTGATAATGCAAAAATATGCCTCTAATTGAATAGATAATAAATTAAGACTCAAAGAGGCTAACCAACTTGCTCAAAACAGAAGTTCTCCTGTTTTTCCAATTCTACCTGGATGTAAAAGCAAATTACTGAACAGATTAAAGTTCTTACAGGTTCCTTGGAACAAACAAAATGAAGCAGATTCCTTAATCATGATATTTTAATATTTTCATCACTTTTAATAACAACAACAATAAAATCTAAGTATATTCTACATGTCTAGATTTTACTTATGTGATTTCATTTTTACTGCAATCCTATGAGAAACAAGCATTTTTTGCAGGAACAGGAGAGAGACAGCAGGTAGGGCGTTTGCCTTGCACGTGGCTCACGAGGGTTTGATTGCTGTCACCTGAGATGGTCCTGGAGCTC